GCACACCGCCCACACACGGCACCGCGTGCTCTAGTTAAATAGGTGACCACTAGACGGCTGTGCCTGTATACATGCTCCCGTTTGGCGCGCTTCTTTCATCTTCGCTGGCAGCTCACTCAGGGAACGCTCTTGGGTACCGCTCCGCAGGAGGCGCTGGCACACCGCCCACACACGGCACCGCGTGCTCTAGTTAAATAGGTGACCACTAGACGGCCGTGCCTGTATACATGCTCCCGTTTGGCGCGCTTCTTTCATCTTCGCTGGCAGCTCACTCAGGGAACCCTCTTGGGTACCGCTCCGCAGGTGGCGCTGGCACACCGCCCACACACGGCACCGCGTGCTCTAGGTAAATAGGTGACCACTAGACGGCCGTGCCTGTATACATGCTCCCGTTTGGCGCGCTTCTTTCATCTTCGCTGGCAGCTCACTCAGGGAACGCTCTTGGGTACCACTCCGCAGGTGGCGCTGGCACACCGCCCACACATGGCACCGCGTGCTCTAGTTAACTAGGTGACCACTAGACGGCCGTGCCTGTATACATGCTCCCGTTTGGCGCGCTTCTTTCATCTTCGCTGGCAGCTCACTCAGGAAACACTCTTGGGTACCGCTCCGCAGGTGGCGCTGGCATACCGCCCACACACGGCACCGCGTGCTCTAGTTGAATAGGTGACCACTAGATGGCCGTGCCTGTATACATGCTCCCGTTTGGCGCGCTTCTTTCATCTTTGCTGGCAGCTCACTCAGGGAACGCTCTTGGGTACCGCTCCGCAGGTGGCGCTGGCACACCGTCCACACACGGCACCGCGTGCTCTAGTTAAATAGGTGACCACTAGACGGCCGTGCCTGTATACATGCTCCCGTTTGGCGCGCTTCTTTCATCTTCGCTGGCAGCTCACTCAGGTAACACTCTTGGGTACCGCTCCGCAGGTGGCGCTGGCACACCGCCCACACACGGCACCGCGTGCTCTAGTTAAATAGGTGACCACTAGACGGCCGTGCCTGTATACATGCTCCCGTTTGGCGCGCTTCTTTCATCTTCGCTGGCAGCTCACTCAGGGAACACTCTTGGGTACCGCTCCGTAGGTGGCGCTGGCACACCGCCCACACACGGCACCGCGTGCTCTAGTTAAATAGGTGACCACTAGACGGCCGTGCCTGTATACATGCTCCCGTTTGGCGCGCTTCTTTCATCTTCGCTGGCAGCTCACTCAAGGAACGCTCTTGGGTACCGCTCCGCAGGTGGCGCTGGCACACCGCCCACACACGGCACCGCGTGCTCTAGTTAAATAGGTGACCACTAGACGGCCGTGCTTGTATACATGCTCCCGTTCGGCGCGCTTCTTTCATCTTCGCTGGCAGCTCACTCAGGGAACACTCTTGGGTACCGCTCCGCAGGTGGCGCTGGCACACCGCCCACACACGGCACCGCGTGCTCTAGTTAAATAGGTGACCACTAGACGGCCGTGCCTGTATACATGCTCCCGTTCGGCGCGCTTCTTTCATCTTCGCTGGCAGCTCACTCAGGGAACACTCTTGGGTACCGCTCCGCAGGTGGCGCTGGCACACCGCCCACACACAGCACCGCGTGCTCTAGTTAAATAGGTGACCACTAGACGGCCGTGCCTGTATACATGCTCCCGTTTGGCGCGCTTCTTTCATCTTCTCTGGGGTTTAGGGACCGGGAAGGCAAAATAGACTTTAAGCAAGTAGACTTAACTAGAAGGAGGTTATCTGATTGGTGGCTAAAGTCAAGGCACGAGTGAAAATTAAACTCTTCACTGCAAAGTACGAATCCTCAAACTCACTTTTTAAGGAAAAATATATATATAGTTTTGGGTTCATTAAGTATTACGGCTTGGTGGCGCTAGCCACCGCCCGATCTAAAGGGTACAGCCATATCCATCCATCCATCCATCCTGGCAGCTCACTCAGGGAACACTCTTGGGTACCGCTCCGCAGGTGGCGCTGGCACACCGCCCACACATGGCACCGCGTGCTCTAGTTAAATAGGTGACCACTAGACGGCCGTGCCTGTATACATGCTCCCGTTTGGCGCACTTCTTTCATCTTCGCTGGCAGCTCACTCAGGGAACGCTCTTGGGTACCGCGCCGCAGGAGGCGCTGGCACACCGCCCACACACGGCACCGCGTGCTCTAGTTAAATAGGTGACCACTAGACGGCCGTGCCTGTATACATGCTCCCGTTTGGCGCGCTTCTTTCATCTTCGCTGGCAGCTCACTCAGGGAACACTCTTGGGTACCGCTCCGACGGTGGCGCTGGCACACCGCCCACACACGGCACCGCGTGCTCTAGGTAAATAGGTGACCACTAGACGGCCGTGCCTGTATACATGCTCCCGTTTGGCGCGCTTCTTTCATCTTCGCTGGCAGCTCACTCAGGGAACACTCTTGGGTACCGCTCCGCAGGTGGCGCTGGCATACCGCCCACACACGGCACCGCGTGCTCTAGTTGAATAGGTGACCAATAGATGGCCGTGCCTGTATACATGCTCCCGTTTGGCGCGCTTCTTTCATCTTTGCTGGCAGCTCACTCAGGGAACGCTCTTGGGTACCGCTCCGCAGGTGGCGCTGGCACACCGCCCACACACGGCACCGCGTGCTCTAGTTAAATAGGTGACCACTAGACGGCCGTGCCTGTATACATGCTCCCGTTTGGCGCGCTTCTTTCATCTTCGCTGGCAGCTCACTCAGGTAACACTCTTGGGTACCGCTCCGCAGGGGGCGCTTGGCACACAAGGAAACCGCCCACACACGGCAACCGCGTGCTCTAGTTAAATAGGTGACCACTAGACGGCCGTGCCTGTATACATGCTCCCGTTTGGCGCGCTTCTTTCATCTTCGCTGGCAGCTCACGTCAGGGGAACACTCTTGGTACCGCTCCGTAGGTGTCGCTGGCACACCGCCCACACACGGCACCGCGTGCTCTAGTTAAATAGGTGACCACTAGACGCCGTGCCTGTTATACCATGCTCCCCGTTTGGCGCGCTTCTTTCATCTTCGCTGGCAGCTCCTCAGGCAACACTCTTGGGTAACCGCTCCGTATGTGGCGCTGGCACACCGCCCACACACGCACCGGACGTGCTCTAGTTAAATAGGTGACCACTAGACGCCGTGCCTTATACATGCTCCCGTTGGCGCGCTTCCTTTATCTTCGCTGGCAGCTCACTCAGGGAACACTTTTGGGTACCGCTCCGCAGCATGAACACTCCAGAAGCCAAGGCAGCAGCTAGGGCTCACCACCAAGACGTTTCGTTGAGAGTTTGGGAGATCGAGGACTACAGGGCTCGCCGTCAAGCAAACCCGTCCCGTTTTTATACGATGGTAGATGAATGTGCATGGACGACTCGCGGGCTACCCGATCATCTCCGAGCAAGCTCATCTGACACGATTCAATTTGTGGATATGGTGGTGGGTTTTTTTTCCTGTGTATTTAACGGTACGTTGATAAACTTTGCCTGTGACACGTTGCCTTTCGGTAGACGCTACTTAGCGTCGATTACGTGTTCAATAAATGAGTTGTCAGTTTGTGCTCGTCTGTCTCATTTTGTTTCTTCCTTGTGTCCCGTCTGCTGCGCAGCTTCCTAGAAAATGATCGTATCGTAGTTTCGGGACGTTGAACCCCACCAACCATGAATGTTAAATCTTGAAACACGGGGACCTGGTCTCGTGCTGCACCTCAAGAACACAACCACCACAGAGGCAGAAGAACTTGTGATTGCTTTGGCAATAGCTCAAAAAGGCACTCGAGTGATTGTTAGCGACTCTAAGTCAGCCATTAAAAACTACGATATGGGCAGGATCTCTGCTGCAGCCGCCAAAATTCTAAGGCAAGGACCAGTACCCGCAGAGCTAATCTCACTAGTACGGTCCCCGGCCCATCAAGGTCTGAAGGGGAATGAGAAGGCGCACGCGATCGCCCGAGGGCTCACTTTCCCGTCGATCGACGCTGACCCGCCGCCTTCGCGCGAGCAGCCCCTCTCCACAAGAGACGAACTACGAACGTTTCAGGAAATCACCGCACACTATAAACTCCACCGTAAGATATATACAGAGGCAGCTTAACAGCTGAGCAAAAAGGAGGAAATTCTGTGGCGAAAATTGCAAACCGGGGTGTTTCCAAGTCCTCACCTGTACAGTAAATGGCACCCGGAAGTGTTCAGCTCCAGATGTGCACACTGCAACAGCACTGCGGGTTTAGTGCACATGGTATGGACCTGCCCACCCTACAATGATCCAAGTAAAAACGTAGAATCCTGGGAGGTCTTATTACACAGCCGTTACGCCAAAGAGCAGCGTCAAGTCATCGGTCTCGCCCTGACCGCCGCCGAGTCCCAAGGGATTCCGGCCGTTGGCTAGGGGGATGATTGGGAGCAGAGGCCGAAGCCTCCTCCCCCGTCATTCTAGACGGGTGCAATAAACGTTATTTTTTTCTCTCTCTCTCTTAATCGTATCGTGCAACAAGGATTGCAACCTGGGTGAGTTGGTTAAGGGTTCATTTTCTAGCAAACCGCTCAGCAGAAGACGCACAAAGAAGGAATGAAACGAAACAGACGAGCGCAAGCGCTCAACACTTAAGGTGCTTGGCCATCAAACTTCTTACGCTCGCGCCTTGCCTGTTGTCGGCGACGTGTACACTCATTCCCATTGCTCCCGCTAGAGACACTGCTGTGCTCTCTCACATAGGGTGCCTCGATGCGCTCATTTGCCTCCACTCCGCGGGGGGGCGCGCATCGAGGCACTCTACTCTCGCACGAATTCTCCCATACTCTCGCAGCTGCACTCTCTCCGGGGAGTCATGCAAGCGGCGCGCTGCCGCAATGGTGGCGCCGGCACACTACCCACTCACTCGGCGCCTTGTGCTCTAGTTAAATAGGTGACCACTAGAGGGCCGTGCCTGTATACATGCTCCCGTTTGGCTCGCTTCTTTCATCTTCGCTGGCAGCTCACTCAGGGAACACTCTTGGGTACCGCTCCGCAGCATGAACACCCCAGAAGCCAAGGCAGCAGCTAGGGCTCACCACCAAGACCTTTCGGTGAGAGCCTGGGAGATCGAGGCCTACAGGGCTCGCCGTCAAGCAAACCCGTCCCGTTTTCATATGATGGTAGATGAATGTGCATGCTACCCGATCATCTCCGAGCGAGCTCCTCTAACACGAATCAATTTGTGGATATGGTGGTGGTTTCTTTCTGTGCACTTAACGGTACGCTGATAAACTTTGTCTGTGACACGTTGCCCTTCGGTAGACACTACTTAGCGTCGATTACGTGTCCAATAAATGAGTTGTCAGTTTGCGCTCGTCTGTCTCAATTTGTTTCTTCCTTGTGTCCCGTCTGCTGTGCAGCTTCCTAGAAGATGATTGTATCGTAGTTTTGGGACGTTGAACCCCAAGAACGATGCATGTTAAATCTTCAAACACGGACCTCTAGCTATATCGAAACGCGGCCGCCGCGGTCCCTCAGAAAAACGCTCAGTACTTTATAGATTAAAGACAATGTCAGCGCAGCGCAAATAGTACAAATATGTACTGTTTGCGTTGCGCTATCTTCGTTTTTTTATTCCTGTGCCTCTTTAAGGACGGTGACGCATGAACGGGATTGGTGGAGGAACATGGCTGCCGAGTATTGTGCAAACGGTGATGCCGGTTTGAGCACAGAGAGCAGCCCTCTTTGAGCCTCGCGCGATCAAAGGGAGTTAGAGGAACGCCTTCGGGCACACAGGAGCTTTGAATGTTGAAGCGATGAAAGTGCTGCAAGAAGCCATGCGAGAATATAAGTGAATTGGAATGCCGCTTCGAATGTTTGTTGTCAGACAATGCAGGTTAAAGAGAAAGGTAAATTGATACAGTGATTCAGAAGTAGATAGATAGATAGATAGATATATAGATAGATAGATAGATAGATAGATAGATAGATAGATAGATAGATAGATAGATAGATAGATAGATAGATAGATAGATAGATAGATAGAAAAAGACAGAAAGAAAGAAATGAAGAAAGTTCTAGAGTGAAACTACGTGAAAGCTTTTCTTCAAAGGAAAGGAAACTTCTTTGAGTTCCAGCCAGGGCCGTATCTTCTTTTTTTTATTTTTCTGTAGTTTGCTCACATAATCAACAGTCGCTTCTTTTGCGCAGGATAGCGAAAGAAAGCATAGGACTGGTTTCAGCATCTCCGCGCCTTTGCTGGCTTATTTCTTTGAAGGAGGCGCTTGCTTTGCCTGTAAACAGCCGCTTTCTGTTTAAAAATTCTTTTTGACGCTTAAGGAACGTGTTTCAGATTCTTATTCGGAGCGTGCGTATTTTAATGACGCTCATGTATGCGTGATGTTTCAGCGGGATACGGCCGGTCTAAGAACTGGCGAGCCTCTGTTTTCGTCCTTCTTTTTTTCCCCTTTCTCTCTTTACGGGAAACAATATTGCTGCACTTCTATTCTGTTAGATGTCGATAGTTTGCATAGAACCTTGTGTCCTGTATGAAATCGGCTGGTAAAAGATGAAAAGAGGGTCTTGACTAATATTGATTTTGTTGATATTGACGCAAGGCAAACGCAGTATTCAAACTACGCGTGCACTTAGTTCGTGCGCCCCCCAAGAGATCAGCGGCTTGATGATCAAACAAGAAAAGGCCGTGACGGCGCGCGCCTCCTCAGCACGGGATTTTGATGAAAAAGAAGTGGTGCACCGCTCGAGGGTTTCTCTGAGATTGATCCCTTTTTGCTGATCGCCTGTTACAGACGCCACTACATTTTCCTTTACTTTTCGGGCACAAGTCCGCCCCAATAAACAGTTATTCGTACATCATTTGGATTGTACGTAACAATATGCGGATTTTACCTTCTCTAAACTACCATATAATTATGAGAAACGCTGTCGTGGAGGAAGGCGGAAATTTCGATTACCTGTGGTTCCTTAACGGGCCCACATATCTGAGCACACGGGCCTACAACATTTCCACCTCCATCGAAAATGCAGCCGCCTCAGCCGGGATTCGATCCCGTGACCTGCGCGTCAGCAGCCGAGTATACCTTAGCCACTAGACCACCGCGGCGGGGCTCCTGAGTAATACGAAGTTGACAGTTCGGACATGGAGAAATATACTTTCGTAAAGAATGCCCAAGCATGGCCTCAGAGATGGCGCGTGCTCGCCGTTTCGGAGGCCATGCTTGGCCAGACTAGAAAGGGTCTGTACAAACGCCAGATGGCGTATTGATGCTCGCTTCTACTCATTAGTCAACACCGATAATAGCCGCCTTTAGCTTCGACAACACAGCAGTCGAATTGATTCGGCTCCGTCTTTGAGTGACATACTCAAATAATGTAAGCTTAAGCAAGCCTTTCCGAATCTCGGAAATACTTGCTTAAGACATACATTACACGTTTGTTATTTGGTGCTGATAGCGGATAGCCGGCGCCACTTGTCCAAACGCCTGATGTCATTTTGAATTGCTGTGCGCTTTTAGGGGCGAAGCTCCTTATAGCGACATCCGTTCGTCCCTCGTAGTCGTAGTAGTAGTGTGTAACCAGTCTTACATTTTGACCTCCAAGGTGGTGCCGGTGGGAGATTTCTTCTGTGCGTTGTTGGACAATAAAAAATTCGCAGCTTGCGCGTTAACTAAAAGCCGAATTTTCCTGTCTCTCATTCACCCTTAGCAGCCATTGGCATGTACATTGAGCACTATCTGACAAGAAAGGGTTGCTACGTTATACTCGCTGGGCGTAACCTCCTAGGTTTTAGGAAGGTTTAGCGAGCGTTGGGCCACAGGGCCATGAATACAGTGAACCAGTATATACCATGAACTCGAGCTGGTTAAAGGCGGGAAGTAGACACGAAGCGCTAGCCGTAAGAAAGTGTGCGTGTGCCTCCTCTCGTTCAGTCCTTGGAATGTCCGCTGGATGGCGTTGCTCCTATATGAGGAATATATGATGAAAAGATGCGAGATGGTGGTACTCGGACTGTTGAATATGTGGATGAACGGACACACAGACAGATGCATGAACGGACGCCCGGATGTCTGCACGGACGGATAGACGCATGGACGGACGCAGGAGCGGATGCATGGACGAACGCAAAGACGGACGCACAGATGCACGTGCGGACGCACGAACAGACGCACGCACGGACGGGCGGATGGACGGTCACACAGACGGACGCATGAACGGACGGAAGCAAGAACGAATGGACGGACGGTTGCTTCGCCCCACTATCCATCATTCACTCCGTGGATATGCTGCCATTTTTTTTAAATACCAGACAAGCTAAAATGTTCTATTTGCTGCTGGAACGTAGTCTGGGAACAACACGTACAACATAGCGTGAAAAGCGTGGAGCAAGATGCAAGGAGCTGGAACTGTCCCGCGGCAGACGATGCGGAGAGGCGAAAGCAGACGACTCGGCTCAGTCATGTCGCTCCTCCGTTCGCTGATTGGGTATACGTCACTCTCCGGCAAACGACAAGCGGTGCAAGAATGGGTCTCGGACCCATTTTTCGAACGGCGAAGAACGGCTGACGAGCGCGAAGGAAACAGCCACCATAACAGCTCCCTGAGAACGTCAAACGGTGAGGCATGCTTGCTGCTATGACGTCAACCGGCCGCAACTGACATCTCCGTCACGTCAATGCGACTCAAATATACTTATATGTTTGCTGTGCGCATGCGTTGACTGTAGCTTAGTGAAAAGTTTTAAAATGTCGATACGCTCGTTTGGGAGCGTACGTGAGAGCTTAAACGTTCGTAAAAGCAGGGAAAGATAAGCACGTTATTGGAAAAAAAGAAGGAAAAGTGCCCGTATTCTTGAGATCTGCAGATTATACAAATATTACTTTCAGAGCCGTGCGTAAAAATGCGCGCCCCACTTTCGGGGCGGGCGCTCCTCTAAAATGGCTCGCATGTTTGCAACCGATCGCTTTGACGGCGGCCTTTGTATATATATATTTTTTGCTATTAACTGCAATGGCAGGCAATACGCTCTCACGTGATGGCGTTCCTTGTGTGCAGTATGTGCCGCGTTTTTATATTGTTGCTATTTTTCGTTGGTTTGCGCGAATCGGCTCCTGGTGTGAGCTTGCGCCTACGCAGACCCTTAAAACCTTTCCAAACCCCGCTTCCTTCCCCACCATGCCTCCATAAAGCGGTGGCTTTTCATTTTGTTTTCTCGTCTCGCGCCTTGTTGCACGTGCGATTTGCATGCTGAACTAATTGACGGAGCATGTGTTCTGTCTCCCTGAAATGTTTATCGTCGGTCGCATTCATTAGTTAATGATGTATTCCTTGCCTCGATTGAATAAACGCTGTCTGCTTTTTGAATCGCTCTGAAGCCAGCTAGGCGTTCGGGGCGCTGTGTTCTTTTCTTTTCCGCATGTTTTTTTTCTGTATTATTGTTCAGTGTTCATAAATACTTTCAACGCAAACCTGCCATTTCACGTTAAGCTTGTATTCGGAAATTTTTACTGGTGTGGGGATCAAGCTCGGGACCGAAACCAGGACAAATTTTTCGCCAACGAAGAAATGTCTCTTATGAGCAATTCGTCTCTGTGTTCTCGATTCTTTGTGCTACCAGCGGTTGCTCGTCAATTTCCCCTATTTAAAGTTGCTGTATCCCCGCCGCGGTGGTCTGGTGGCTAAAATACTCGGCTACTGACACGCAGGTCGTGGGACTGATTCCCCGCTGCGGCGGCTGCATTTCCGATGGAGGCGGAAATTCTGTAGACCCGTGTGCTCAGATTTGGGTGCACGTTAAAGAATCCCGGGTGATCGAAATTTCCGGAGCCCTCCACTGTGGCGTCTCTCAAAATCATATGGTGGTTTCGGGACGTTAAACCCCAAATATCAATCAATCAATCAATCAATCAATCAATCAATCAATCAATCAATCAATCGATCGATCGATCGATTGATCAATAAAGTTGCAGTATAGCTTTGTAATATTCGCGCTTGATCCTATGCTGCCAGTGCAATTTGTTCAGTGTTGCGTAAACACGCTAATATATTTCGTTTTCATTTCTTCTTTTTGTGCAATGCAGCAACCTGGTTCCACGGTGGTTCTAGAGACCGACGCCAATGGCGTGGTCCACGTGAAAGTTGTCGGTGAGTATTCTTCTTTTTTTGGGATTTTTCTGCAATAAGTGCATGTTTAACGTAGATGAAATTCATACAGTTCTCAGCGCTTTGGACTTGCTTAGCTCGTCGAAAGCTGTCGTGCTAATATTGCCTCCTTTATTATTGTCGTAGTGAAGCATTTCCAAAGCGAGACATTCCCCTTTTGAACGAGCCGAGCTTATTCAAAGCTACAATGCTTCGCTCTGGCACTGAGTGTCAATTCAAAGTTGCCAGCAACCTCGCTCGGGCAATGCGTTTGTGGCGTCATCCTCATTAACACGCATCATCATCACCATTTCTAACTACAGCACAGCGCATCTGGCGCAGCTCATGCTGACAGCTCGAGCCGCGTACTAGTAAAATTAGAACAGGTACTCGCGCCTGGGGGTTCGGAGGCTATCAAGCGCCGCCGCTCCGTTCTGGCCCTGTATATAGAATAAAGTGGTGAGATCCTGCACGTCCTTCTGCTCTCGCTACAAGTCCACAATGAGTTGCCCGCAACTTTTCTCGGACAATGAATTGACAGATTTAGTTGCCACGAACTTCTTTCGGGCAATGAGTTGCCACTTTGGGTTGTCAGAAACTTCGTCCGGGCAATGAGTTGCCAAATTGAGTGTCCAGCAACTTCGTTCGGGCAATGAGTTGCCAATTTGAGTTAGCAGCAACTTCACTCTGGCAATGAGTTGCCACTTTTAAGTTGCCACTAATTTCGCCTTGTAAATTTGTTGCCAGAATGAAGAATCGCCATGAACAAAGTGGCAATACTACCGCACTGTCAAAGCAGCTACGTTAAGACAGAAAAGTAGAGGGAGATATGTCAGTGACCACCTGAATGTGAAATCGGTTTGTATAATATGAGGTTCCACTAGCGTAGCTTTTGGTGAACTAGATCAGCAATCCTGTGCGCTGGCAACCATGACAGTGCAGCATTACACATCGGACTGCAACAATGAAAGGCAGCGGAAATAACATGTGACTTTGATAGGAAGATCTGATTGCCATATTAGATGTGGCTAATCGCCGATGAGCCCGCGATCGAGAGGGCGTTAGTTATAGGTAAACGGCGCATACAAATGCGCGTGTGGTGGGCGCACTTTCGGAGGCATTATTTGGGTGTTTCTATGCACTATTTTACGGATGGGTTAGGGGTGAATCAGCTTAATAACGCACAATGCCCCTCCGTTTATGAACCTCTTTTCGGGGACTGCAGCATATGTAGAAAACGAAACACATGTGAACAAAGAGCGGGTTTGATTTCAAAGGAGGTTTAATTTTTTTTCAAATCTCCTTGTTTATTTCTAGCGTGTTTCGATGAGGAGAAGAAAGGTGATAAAAAATGACAGCATATCCACGAGATTAATGATGACGAGTAGGGCAAAGCGGACAGATAAACGGACGCGTAATTGGACGGATGGACGGACGCAAAACGCAAGAACGGATGCACGGGCGGACGGAGTGATGGACGAATGGTGTTACGTTTGGCCCGGCAATTCGTCTGGGCAGACGCCATTGTGTGTAAGCCGGTCTGCCATGATGCTTTCAACCCCATCGGTGCCCAGTGAACCCCATCGGTGCAAGACGCTGTCCTAAATGTTCCAGGTAGTGATCGGGTCACAACGAAAGCTTCGCGAGACAACCCTTTTGTTGAATGTATTCGAACAGCGTGGGACGGCGCCACTGTGGAGGTTTTCATGAAGTCAACTTCTCGACTCGGCTGTCGTCGCCGACGCGAAATCGTCAGAAAAGCACCGTCAGTCCGGAAGCCTGAGAAGAACTCGAAGAAACCGTTCTCGGGGATCGAGTGTTTGAACTGCCATGTTCGAGAGAGTTTTGGAAGCCTGTAGCTGAAAGCAGCCATGGACCGCTGCTGACGTTCGTGTCAGCGGCCATCTCCACGGAGGAGCTCAGCTTTCCCTCTCCGGACTCTACCTCTTCGCCCTGCGGTGCCTTCAAGGCGGAGGCCGGGTGTTTTGTTGTTTGCTACGGGTGTTTCGAGTGTTTTGTTGTGCTACTATTGGACTGTTTCACCCAGCCGCGTGGTTCGAATTCTGCACCCTTTCTGGTGGGTGTACCACATAGACGTCGTCACCTGATTTGTGGCAAGAGTGGTCACTGCCTTCTTCGGACTTCCGTGTAAGGAAATGGCGGGCTGTAAAAGCCGAAAACATTTTGTAAATAATCGCTGAATCGTGCGCTGAATCTTTGTGCATAGCTGAATCTCTGTACAGTTCCATCTTTCAATTATCATGTAAACAAACCTTCGTTCTACCTCTCTTAACGAATTCTCTCACTGGCGAAGATAGGCTATGTGGACGATGGCGGGGAGTCAGCTACCCTAAAAAAAAAACAAAAAAAAACGCCGTACCTACCATCGACCTCGAGTCCCTTGACAATGGACGGACGCACGGACGGACGCACGGACGGACGCATGGCCGGACGGACACTTCGCCCAGCTCATCATCATTCGCTCCGTGGATACGCTGTGACGCAGTTGTTATTGACATGCAATGCAATGAAACAGACTACTACGATGACTACGATGACACGAGACATACGACCCACGGCGTAGGGAGCTTCGTCCCTAAAAAACGCTCTTTAAGCTTACCTCTATAGGCGCACGTTAACAAAAACCGCATCTGGTCAAATGTAATCCTGCGGAGTATGCCACATTACGGCGTCACTCATATTCATATCGTGGTTGTTTGTGGCACGTAAAACGGCTGCATAGTTACATTATTACTGCGACGCGTCATATGACATACTGCTTTTAATTCGCACGCACATGTCTGCTGTTCAGAAGAACATTAGCGGTTTTCATCGCATCGCAAATGAGCATGTCTCCTAACCTCTGTTTTCGCATAAGTTTTAGAGGCTGGAAGTGGGCTGGAAATCAGCCCGTCTCGCCATGGCCTCGCAAAACGTTTTCGTTCTTTTGACGTAGTTTCGTATATTTCATTTGCTTCAGATGAACGCTCCCTTTTTGGGATAGCGCATAGCCATAACGCATTACCCGTATGCCCGCATAAAGCCTGTCTGTAGTCGTCGATGTACGGCTGGCTAAATCGGAAACGCAAACACCGCAGTTTTGAATTCACCGTGAATTTCTTTTCGCCAGTCCGCTGTGGCGGCGCTTCGAAACGAACTTACGTTAAAGGCGCCGGCTAAATGCATAAGGCATGACTGCCGACGTTCGCTTTGATGGCGTTGCTGAAAATCTGCTTTCGCAAAAAAAGGAAGAAAAAAACAAGCATTGACCTCGTGGAGGCCTTGAAAAGAACGGAACCAGAACGATATATGCGAATGCTACGCTGTGATATGCTAATAAGGTGCGGCATAAAATTTAAAAGCCAAATATTTCGTCTTGAATCTTATGCATGCCGCATAAATACACACTTGGGAAAAAATGCTTCTCAAAGAGGCGATCTTTTCATCTGGAGCTCTGTGTAAACTGAAGCCGACTCAAGAAGCGCCGCCATTAAGGTGATTTCATCCTCCACGAGGCGTGTCGATTCAAGCCCGACATTCAACAAATTCTTAGAACACTGCCTGCTCCGTCTGCTTTCGGTCATTAGTGTAGGGACTGTGTTCCCTAGACTCTCGCGATTTAATTTTCTGGCATTAGAGACCATGGTCGTTGGCATGATTTTTTTTTCCTTGTGGGGTGCAGACCATTCTTGCATCGCGGCGGGGGGGGGGAAAGCATTTGTGAAGCTTGGGTGAGGGCAAGTGCTGGTGAAGCTTAAGGGGCGGCCCCCCCTTTCGCACCCCTCCCCCCATGCCAACGCCCATGATTATGACTGTCGCTTGAAACTACAGCGAAAGTCCAAACTGAGTACACACCCATCCGAAGATTACAACCACTTTGTGTTACGGGTGACACATTCGCCTAGTCTTTGCTGGGGTTCTTGTGCGAAGCCCAATCGCCAGTCTTTGTTTTCAATGTAGATGCCTGGGCTTCTGCGTGAAAGAAGTACGATATGATCACGGGGTATAATGTAGTGAGGCATTTTGGAAATTTCGATGCACTTTAGCGTGCATCGCACGATACATGGGCCTCAAACATCTCGCCTCCAGTGAAATGCAAGCTTCACGGGCGGAATTTCGAACCGCTGGAGTCGTTTATCGTCCTCGCCATGTTAAGTAGACCAGCCTCTAGCCCTCCGCTTCCACCGAAATACGACTTCCGCTGCCGGAATCGAACCCGCGATCTTGGGGTCAGCAGCGCAGCACTGTAACTCCTGCATAACCGCAGTGGCAAGACAATCTCAGTTCAATGATGCCATAGTCTTGTCAGTGTTTTAGGGTCGAAGCTCTTCTAGGGTAGAGACTGGTCCGTTAGCTGCGTTGGCGTGCGCCGTAGCCGTGATGACGATGACAATCACAGACAGCGACTGGTTTGTGCAGTGTAGGACGTCTCGATGGATATGCTGCATACTACGATGCATTTACCAGGACTGGAAAGAACCAACGACCACCAGGACTCGTTCTTGCCGGCTTCGGGCTAAATGCGATACCACAACACAGTAATAATGGAGGCAAAGCGAAATTCGCAACTCAACACGACATACCAGTTGTGACCAGCAAACCTTGTATGTAACTGTACACTACCTTGTGACACGTACATGCGTGAGTGGTCAATGTCATGGGTGATTCGTGGTTTATAGGAGGAAGGAACTGCGGAAAGAACTGCGGAAGATTCATACAAGGCACACAGTTAGAGAAGGCACTACAACAGCGCCGTTCTAGTGGCTTCTTCAGCATGGTAACACCGGATGATTCCATTGCTTCGCCCACTCTTTATCATTCATTTCGTTGATATGTTTATTTTTACATGCGTAGCCTGTCGTATTCACTAGGCACACTTTGCTAACGGACGTAGCAGGGGCAGCATGTCAGGGCAAGATTGTTATCGCTGCCGATATAATATTGTTACTTCTCAACGCCGCTGTACAGTTCTGAGCGTTTTTTTTTGTTGCCCTAACCCTTTGAGCTCTTCGCTAGCGCTCGAAAAACATTCAATCTCGGTCTATTGCGTCCCCATTGTTCCGGCCAACTCCCAGCTGAATCCCGAGTACATCGCCGTCGCGCTGTCCTTTTCGAATTCTATATCAGGGCTGCAACAGTAGCAGCTGGCCCCGCGAATAAATGCCACAAAGCGCGTTAAACGCGTCCGAATTACGTCATCCGATGACGTCATCCGGCGGCGAGACGGGCCTCCCACATTCTTATAGCCGCGTGACCTTTCCAGCTCGTCTATTTGCACCACGCTCAATGAAGATGCGAGAGCGAGGTCGTAAGGAGAGATAGAGAAAAAAAAAAGGACTGACATAGAATCGGAGGGTGGTAAAAGGAAAGCTAGAAAAAAAAAAGAAGGCGCTGGAGAATCGATACACGATAGCCAGGGAAGATGAAGAGTGAAAGATCAGACAGGAAACAGGATGAATCTGTCGGTGAAATCTTCTCTTCTTTTTTGGGTTGAAGGGGAAGCACTAAGACGTCTGCAACCTCGTAAAGAGCTCGTTCACTCATTCTGTGTAAATCATGTAGGCGTATAGTGCCCACTTACTTCGTCCTTGCTATGTGCAACCGTTAAACTTTAAAGTGTGGCTGAAACCTTTTATACACCAGCGTGTGATGTGGGACTATATGTGAACTCAACTGCAGAATGGAACAGCTATAGATCAAAGACGACGGTTCCTTCGGAAAACTTAGTTTCGAAAGCTTGACAATGTCTCTGATCATTCAGACGCTCTTACACACGTTCTATTCGAACACCGTCGACGTTTTCGCGCTGTTTCTGACCCTACAAGGTGCTCCAGCTAACTGTATCGAGAGTTTAGAAATATGGCTATGCACCTTATGACGACGCGACCGTTGTATGCCTTGAGTCTTTTTATGTATTGTGTCTGCTTAATTACAGTAGATCAGCAAAGTGAGTTTTAAACCAAACAAGCTGGGCAAAACATATTTTGACCAGAGAGTTGCAAATGGGTTCTCGAAACGGCTGACTAAACAGTTTCTGACTTTTTATTTGATATGTACTACTTTTGCTGTTTCTTGGAGATTTTTTCGAAATACAAAAAAATACAATAATAATAATACCACGTCACATGTCTACTTGCGCGCCGTGTCTTTAGTGCTGCCTGTGCTGCATTTGTAAGTTCACGGTAAAATGCCGTCGAGTCGTCTGAAGCAAATATGTAAGGGACTTTGCGAGCTTACTTGATTCCGGCTCTACGTCATAATGCATCAGTTTTCCCACGTGTTACAACTTTCTTTCATGTTGCTTCAAATTCCAGCGTACGCTAGTGAAGAAACCTGGCTGCTGATGCAGTCGCCTAGCTGATCGTGGCGTATAAAAGCACATTTTCTTCCTTAATATTTTGTCACCTGTAACTAAGGCCGCTTTTCTTTCGTTCATATTTTTATGTATTCTGCCGCACTTCAGGGATAGGAATATTCGTCCTGACACCCTTCCAAGTCGCCGCCGACCCACGTTCTTCGAGGTAATGAACTTACCGAATGTTCGAGAAAAGTAAAACGGTGGGCAAACCACACACGACTTGGAAGAGGGGAATAAAAAAAAAAACATTCTGCAGAAATTGTGAAAATAGAATGGCTGAGGTAAAATACACATAAACCTCTACACAGCGTGGCAGTTAAAACGCAACAAAACACTCCGGAAACCTATAAGAATTTCTCTCGGGAACTAAGTCTAGGGAAAAAGATCCATTTTGTACGTCAAGTCGTTGCTGGAACGTCTTCGACGTGTTTCCTTTGAGAGCCGATAGTTCGGGGGCGCACGGTTTCACTTCGGATTAGCGAAGCTCGCGGGGAAGCCACTGTGACGTGCTACAGTGTAGGATATGACCTACTACCCATCGCGTTGAATTACCTCTTCAACCTTGCAAGGCGCACCTTGGTTGCGTTCATTACTCAATGCCCCTACGTCAGGAAAATGCACAGAAATGCTGCGACTGTTGCCAACTTTTGAAGCTCTGAGGAGGCTTCTATTTTGCCTCTTAGCCTTCTTGGCGTATCTGGCCAAGAAATACGAAGGTTCAGCGAAGAATACACCTTATGCATTTGGCTAAGATGACCAGAAGGCGGACGCCTTCTTTTGAAGTCTTTCTTGGATTACTTCGACGCAGAAATTTCGGTCTGTCTGTGTGTCTGTCCTGCTTTTGTCTGTCACGCGATTCACCCATCAGAGCTAAAGTTTAACCCTTGCTGAAAGACCGCCGATCTTGACCTCATAGCTGCGTGCATTCTAGGGAAACTCGTCAATAATAATAAAAAAAACAAATATTACGCATATTTGGGCGTAACATCAGTACGGGAGCATTAAGGAGTGTGTTACTTTGTTTCTGAAATGCATCAATACGTAATTCTAAAGACCGCAGTGCTTATTACGCAGCGCTGGCAATGCGACGCAATGGCCGAAAAAACGGGTGTTTTCCAGGCTGCACAGTGCTACCATCTACCAGTGACTTTGCTTTCTAAAAAAAAACTTAGTTTCTTTACATTACTACACTTCTAGCACACTCGAACATTACTGCTAGATGGCGTTCATATCTCACGCAGTGCCTATTCACCGATGTTCTCGCGCAGAACGTCAAATCAACGTTTCATTGTCTCTCTCTCTCCAGACAGAAGACTATCGTGTTTCGGCGACATCTGCCAGCGAAGCGCGCAAATACGCCTCAAGCCCGATATGTTGACTGCTTTCGTTTCATGCACGTGTTTTGACTCAGTGATTGTTTCGTGCATTGTCCTTCTCTCAGTGTACCCTTTACTCTCCCTTATGTCATCTCCTTAGGTATAGTAACAAGTCGGTTTGGTTTATTACCTGCCTTACCTCTTTGTCAACATCTCTTCATCTCCCCATTTCTTACTCGCCCTGTTGACCTTTTGTTATGGCCCAGAACCGAAGTTGGGCGAGTCTGTACTGATTCGCGTTCACTGCGCGACACAACACACCGATGAAGAACAGACGGAAACAACACTAGCTCAAACTCACGACTGGTTTATTAGCAATAGGAACGAACTCACTCGCTGGACTTCGTGCCGACCGGTTGTGCCCCCGCGATCTCCGACGACAGCGCAGCTCTGGCCGACTGGGCTCGCCCTACGCCATCTCCTGACGTCGACAAGAGTTCTCGTCTAGTGGTGCCCCGTCCTCGGACTCCTTCGACCGCGTCTATTTTTCCTATCTTCTGTTTACTTCCGTCGTTTTCTGTCGTTCGCTGCGCCTCGCTCTCTCCTTCCTCTCTGTCTCTTTACCTTTTAATCCCTCCTTTACCCCCACACCTCGTGATGAGCTACTGTTGAGGGTCCTCCCCCTGAGAGACAGTCACGGGGCTCACGTTTCTCTTCTTTTCATTTAAAATCACTCACACTCACAAGAGGAACGATACTTGAGTCAACGTCGTCACTAGCACACCTGGTGGCAACTAAACGCGGGTACCCGACAGAGAAGCCGTGATCCGCTATGGGGTGTACTTTTTAGAGGCACAAACAACCCGTTTTTACGGTGCCTTTTTTCTTTAGTGCATCGGAAAACTCACAGGTTAGCGAGTCTAATCACGGAATGGCAAGGCAGCAGGCGCCGCGAAACATCGGTAGTGAGAATTTTTTCTATCTGCAGTGAATTTGCAGCCATATGTTCGCATACTGCGAACGGGGAGTGCGAGAGCGGTTAGCGTTCGAGTTCGGTCGTTTTCTTGGCACGCGTGTGCCCCTCGCGCACGCGCCACTGCTTGGCTTGTTCCAACGTTTTTAGATACTTTTCTAAAAACGTTTGCTTGTTCCACTGGCGGCCGCGACTGCAGCGCCGCGTCCCACCGTGAAAACTTCTTCTATGCTGTGAGCTGCGCTGACTTTAGCGGTGTTGGATAATAGTATACATACTCTGATATTAAAGACTCGCGCGCATGGCAGCATCGGATTACGCGTCTATATGCTTACAACAGAGTTATCGATTCCATTACCAAGTTTCAAGGGCCTTCCGCTACGCGGCGCGATATAACGGGTTTTGTTACGGTTAAGCTCGACCTAAAAATATAAAGCCTAGTGATAACGTGAGCAGAATGTTGGAATCTGTCACTATATTTCGTGGTCTCTTCATTTCTTCAAGAGGATCTAATCACACTTTCTGGCCAGACGTTGGTCCCTTTAATGTGGGCAACAAAAAGCAGTGCCCGAAGCCTTAACGACATGCGCCGCGCAAGAAGGTACAGTGTGCTTCATTGATGTTTGTTTTATATTTAGAGGATGTTGGTTTGTTTAACAATAAGAATTGATGAGGTTTAATATTCCGAAACCGCGATATGCTTAATGGAGATGCTGTTGAGGAGGGTTCCGAGAATTTTCGACCATCTCGGACTCCTTAACAGGCACCTAAAGCTGAGCACACCAGCCTGAAACATTATCGCCTCAATCGAGAAGTTCGATGAAGGCACCTTCGATGAAGGCACTTTCGTAAGGTGCAACAACATAAAGTTATAAAATATAGAAGAAAAAATCGCCAGAGAAACAATACAGCACCTGAAATAACAGCAGAAAAGAATACCACGCCAAGGAAGACAATGAGCTCCTAGGGAGGGGGGGGGGGGGGTGTTGTCAAAAGTTTTCAGGCATGTACTTCTATGGAATCTTGACCTGGGAACTTATGACCAGGACTGTATATACAAATTTGATGTATTATTTTTTGAGACTAAACATTCCCTGACATTCACAGATCGGTTAATTCCGCTGAACGGTGATTTCCCAGTGTTTTTGTGAAATTTGCGATATGATTAAATTATTCGTTGTTCATCTTTTTTCGTTTTTTTTTGCTTTTTCTTTGACTTGCGCAGAATGCAGTGAGGAGGATGCGACACAAGCCGCCCTGAAGCGGCCGGCGACACTGAGTCAGTCGGAGTACAACCTCCTGCAAGGTGAGACCGATTGATTGATTGATTTGATGAAACACTCTTCCGAAATCGACTGATTCGTGTGCTCTTCATGCCATATTCAGTCCTCCCTTCGCCTTTCAATTCAAGATTGGCTACTCTCACTAATTTCGCTTCAAGGCCATTTAGTCATTTTTAAGGAACATTCCATTACATTTATCTCAGGTCTAAATGCTGCGTTTCAAGCGCAAAACAAACCAATGAGTAATGGGACTTTGAAAAACCGGGAACTGCTATATAAAATGTGTCAATCAAAGCAAAAATAGGTGGGCTGTAGTTATTCTGTGCTCTTTGTGGTCAAATCTTTCTTTGCCTCGAAGGTTCCAAGAGATATTCAAAATGTTCTTTTTTGTGTGAGAAAATTTCGAATATCTCTGCCATTTTACAATTTCGAATCGCTCTGAAAGTCCTTTATTTAATAAGCGAGATAATCAATTACTCAGTTAATTAGACGACATAAACCGCAACCTAAAGAAATCTCCTATGTGTGAAGAGAAACAAGTACACAGATGATGGATAGACCGGAATATTCACACCGGTGTATCTAAGTAAACGAAACGACGCGTGCCGATGAGGAAGGTTGTAAATGGGAAGGCTGAATTGACGAAAAAAAATTCGGCAGATCCCACGTACATGGTAATCCACGTTATGCGAAGCATGCGGAAAAAAAGGTGACCGTGTTGCAATTTTTTTATTTAGTGACATGTCAAGAAATGAGCCTAAAGTAATGTACAAATGTCGCACACAGAGACATATGTTGAGGAGTTGCAGATGTTTATATAACCAGTTGCTTGCACTTGCGTAACGATGCCAACTGGAACATGCGTATTAGCAACACCAGAAGCTGATATGAAGCGCTAATGCTCGCGAAGATGCTTGTCCTGGACACTGCTACATAAATCAACTTCAGCGCATGACAACTAACCACATCTGACGTTAACCCGACGTGACGGCTGTATCAAAATAGTACATATGTAATGTGTATAAGATTTGGTAGGCGGCACTGAAACTACTGCCAACGTTTCACGAAGATTAGCGTCTATTTGAAAAGTAGTTGCGAGACCTGGCATAGCTCTGTGGTAAAATGCTTCATTAGCTCCCAGGATGCTTGGGTTTGATTTCAGCTGGGACTCATCGGGTCGACGCCTCGACGTCGGGTATTTCTTGACACTCGCGCGTTGAAATTGCACATGTGTGTTCTCGTCGTTTCTGAGGAGATACCAAGCTTCAATCACTTGTGGCACATACCCGCATACCAGCGGCACATACGCGCCCGTGGGTACGTGCTACTGTCTGGTGGGAAGTGTTTGACGACGCACGCGACGGGATTGTGACATTATTCGTGTCAGGACAAGCGCGTCGTACTCGTCAAACCATCTTACCCTCTCATGCTAATTTTGGTTCTCGCCAAGTAAATGGTGTGACCACGAGAGCACCCAAACGTAAGCGGATAGATAGATAGATAGATAGATAGATAGATAGATAGATAGATAGATAGATAGATAGATAGATAGATAGATAGATAGATAGATAGATAGATAGATAGATAGATAGATAGATAGATAGATAGACAGACAGACAGACAGACAGACAGACAGACAGACAGACAGACAGACAGACAGACAGACAGACAGACAGACAGACAGATAGATAGATAGATAGATAGATAGATAGATAGATAGATAGATAGATAGATAGATAGATAGATAGATAGATAGATAGATAGATAGATACGTTCAAAGTCGCCAAATTTTGCAAGGAAATGCTTCGCATTTAAAAACAAAAAAGGACACTTGGCGTAAGAATTGCCGCTTGTCACAGAGAATACGTGAAACTCAGCACGAAACTAAGGTTTCTCAAGATTAACGAACAATGACACTTCACTGAGTAAGGCGGTATTACGAAAGGAAAAAAAAATCGGGAGCGGTGATTAGGGAACTCTTTCAAGGAGTCTCTCCTCAAAAACTAATAATGCCATTGGCGCATGACCTATGTGCTTGATTCAGGTGCACATTTTAAAATATTAGACGGCCTTACGAGTTTCAGAGTTACGAGTTCAGACATACAGAAAAACAAACAGAAAATGATCATAAAGAAATGGCATATTGATGTCACTTAAAAAAAAAAGAGCAACCTTAGCACTTTAAAAGATGACGTATGATATTGCAGGTTCCTAAATCTTGCCTAACATTTCATGATCTTCTTTACGGTGATTTGGAAATGTGAGCGACAAAAAAAAAATCATGAAAGAGAGATACAGATAAAGTGGCGTATAGTGGCAATAAATAAATAAATAAATAAATAAATAAATAAATAAATATGAGGTGTCCAAGGTGTCCAGATTTATAGAGCTTGTGGAACGTAGAAAGCTTCGCCACTTTTGTCGGTGACCCGAGGGAAATTTTCTTTCCCCCTTTTCTCGCTGTACACGCATAACGCGTCATAAATCACACCATTAAAATAAGTAAAAGCCTCAAAAATCACGCTAAAAGGGCATTTTCTCGCACTTTTTTGCTGAGCCGGGCGAGGGGGGTGAGGGAGAAGCGGTCGAAATGGCTGTTTTGAACAGAATCCATCCGTGGCCTATTGCGCGGAAGGGCCGCTGCTTGTCTGCGCGAAACGTGCTGTGGAATCGCCGTATCGAGAGGAATGTATGTAGGTCGCAACGCGTATGCGGCAGACAACTGTAGGTTGAGGATGCCGTTCATCGTGATGATAACTTTTTTTTTTATTGCGATAGCAATTATGTGGACACTCTCGGCTGTATTTATCCGCCGGCGTCATTCGCCGTATGTGTAAGCGTATCTACACGTATGAAAACGCAAGAACAAAAAAAAAATAATCCAGAAAAAAAAAAGATTCCGGCGCGCGGAATCGAACGTCTGACCTCTTGCTTGTGAGTGCGTGGCGTTAGCCACTGAGCCACGAAAAAGCACCTTCTTACGCGTCGAAGTGGCAAGCTATTTATATCTACCAGTTACCGCTGGCGATGGACACCTCGGAGCAACTGTCGGGTTTTCAGCAGTCCCAGAGAGGTGGTGCAATGAGGGCGCGTCGCTAGAAAGCCACTAAGATCCGGTACAATGTGGCGTATCTCAGCTCCATTATAAAAACAGCCACGCTGCGTAAGAATAAAAAAAAAAGGAACAAGCCTTCCGGTAACTGTAAGGAAAGGATTGGGTATTTGTACAAGTGGAACAGCAAAAACGAAATAAAAAAGAAAATTATGAACTTGTCGCCTTCTTTTGGCCCTACTAAACAGTTCATAAAATGATTTGTACGCTGTTTTTGGCTTGACCCGTCTGCGACGTTCCTTCTTCTATACTTCCCGTTTACTTTGATCAAGCAAGAAGTGTCACGCAAACGTAAAGTTCGGAGCATTTTGTTTCGTCAAAAGTGCAGTAAAGAATGCGAGTGTAGATAACGTCTAATGCTAAGTTTCCTCGACGAAAGAAGAAAAAAAAAAGAACCAGAACAAACCTCGAATGAGAGAAGGCTATGCCACTCTAACTCAGACACAAACACACAACGAAATTCGCTCGCGTATCACTTGTGTCCCTTGCTTTATTGGCACGCTATTATAGTTTGTCATCGTTTACTCTTTTTAAATGTCTCAGATTTTTGAGGGGAGGTGCTTACGCCGAAAAGAAAGTACCTCAATCGTGCTCAAATCACCGAAATCGTAGGTTACGTTTCTGAGAACGCCTTCGACAACCAACAGCGCTGTCAGTTTCCCGAATCGCGTTTCTTATTCTTACAGGCACCGTAGAATATAAGGTATATGGACGAAAAAGATAGAAAAAAGAAACACACAAACACAAACTGCGTGGCTTGGAGCGACTTTTTTTTCTGTTTACAGATTGTTCACGAATTCTTTTTGAAAGTCAGCGCAATTGCACGCATTAGTTTCAGCATCTTTGTTTGGAAACGATGTTTTTTTTATGAGCAAAGAAAAGCCGTACACTTTAACGACTATGGGCATCTCTGTCTGAAATTTGCAATCCATACATTCTCAAAAGGCTACCGCACGCCTTAAAACGTTTGTTTTGTGTTCAAGAATTTTCGCATCTCTCGTATGGTTTTTTTGAAATTTTCAACCCGTTTTCCCAGCTTGGATTTATTTTTCACTGCTCTCCTTCCGTTTTCATGGCGTATGTGTTCAGGCGCGCTACGTTTCAGTTCACATTTCGGCCATGCGTTTCGGTGTCGATTGAATTTCACGCTTTCTATAGGCGTTCGCCTGCTCGCCTTGGTCTCATTTTTGGCCTTTTCTTTGAAGGTCTTCTGTTTCTCGGCTGTGAATTTATTAAAATTTCTTCCTGTTTGATATATGCATTTCAATTTCATGCTCGAGAATGGTAGCCGTGAAACCACGGGCAAAAGAGAGACGCCAGGACAACACAAAACTATGTTTTGGTCGCCTTGTGTTTTCTTTTATTTTCCATGTGTGCGCCTACCCTCTCTGATCGTGAATCACCACATACAATCGCAGTTTTCTGGAATTTTGATGCGTTATGTCGTTTAACTTTACACTCGTCTTGTCTACACGCTTGAAACCACCCTTCATCTCCTACCTGTCTGCCTCGTTCGGCTGTCGTCTGCTATTTTTCGCATCACTGATTTCTATAGGGTTGGTTCCCTTTCTTTTTCTTTTCTTTTTTAAAATTTGTTTTTTGATTCTGACAGATATGGCGCTTTAGTCGCAAGTTTGTGAAATGCACAGGTGTGTTGCGCAGGGCTGGTGCTGAGACTGCCTCAAATGCTTATTTTCTCATTTTTTTCCTCTCTTTTCGTAGCCGACCGTATGCACGTGCAACCACGGCCTTGCTCAAGCTGTGCCGCAATGCCTAGGAGCATTCGCGATTACTGTAGAATGTTCTGATAAGCTTGAGCGCACAGCGCGAACCGTAGAGCTTACTTTTGTTCTAACACGGTGACTTACGATAAGGCTGGATCGCATTTTGACGCAGGCAAAATGTTACAGG